AAGTACTTGACATTTATTATTTCCGGCAACGGTTTTTCTCACGCCTGCGAAGTTGTTTTTCGTCCCCTGTTCATTGTCCTTTCATTCTCGACTTTTCTCAGTATTTAAAGATTTTACGTTATTTAATTAATTTTTTATATTAATTTGAATATCGCGGACAAAGATGGCTGATCATTGCTACCAACCATCAAAATCAGCGTCAAGACATCACAGTCGTCTGTAGAGTTGTAAAAGTACAAACCACGCTCCCCCGCAAAGAGAAAGAAGAGGGCAGGAAGAATTCGTCGAGTTCTCAATGAGAAAAATGAGAGGGCGAGGAACAGAGAGAAGACATGACAGATCTAGAACAGCAGGAAATCAATTAGAGTAGAATGATGAAATTCAAAAATATTGATTGCAATGGTACACTGTTAGAAATTTTTTGAAATTTGAGTAATAGGTGCATTTGAATTTTCAATATTCTGAACTTGAATTCGATTTCAGACTAAATTGCTCACGGAATTCCTGATTCATCTTGGAAATCCAATAGAATTAAGTTTTTCATTATGAATGATCAGTGAATTTTCAATGACAATATGATAGGGAATGATAGGATTTTCAAAACTATCCCGAAAATTAAGCTTTACATTAAATCGAATTTTCAACAGATTCAAAATTTAGAAGAATAATTGCCTGAATTTCTACGATTTTCAGTCATTTTCATTGTCGTATGAGCCTGAGAAATCAATTTCGTTGAATATTGAAGGAAATTGATTGATTTATCAATAACACGGTCAATGGAAATTCCATGTAAATTATTGTTTGTCAAAAATTTCAATATTTTTTACTTGAAATTTCAAGAGTAATTTTCTAACAGTCTATCGAAATTTTTTTAGTATATTAATTATAACCATTACCATTTTCCTCATTCTGGGGTCTGGGATTCTCCTGCTCATTCTGAATTGGATGTACGACCTGTTGATCAGGGGCAGGGGTAGCAGATTTCCGTTGGGTACAACAAGCATGTCCCTGCCAAGGACATTCCTCTGAACATCTCTTGGGTTATCTGCAACGAGTTCATCTCTTGCTCTCTCTCTCTCTTACTGCTTCGAGCTCATCATCCTGCAGTAACTGTTCCTCCATCAGGAAACCTTCATCTCCATTCAGCTCCTCCAACTTCGGCACACCTGGAGCAGCCTGACGTGCGATGTCTCTCTCCTCGTCTGAGTCAAGCTCCTGATCTGACCCTGGGAGTGACACTGTGTCATCTGCCGAGAACGTAATACATAAATAATACCACATCAGCTTCCAAGTTTCAAAATGAAACTGAAAAAAATCACGAGTGGGAAGTAGGAGGGATTTTTCCTGAAAAATTTGACGAGTTCGTTTGTATGAAGGGAACCTGGAGGGAAATACCTGATAAATTTTGAAGCTCGAATGGTATTCGGAGGGGAATTTTTCCATCGAAATTTCGGCTAAGAGGATTGCATGAGACAAAATCCGTCTGCCAGTTTCAACGAGGGGGTTCACTCGATTAGGAAGTCTTTTGTTTTTCATATATATAAGCTACATGGAAAAGTACCAGTGAAATTATCAGCTGATAATTATTAGTACAAAAATTATCAGTTGAATGTCGTGTTCCCTTATAAAACAATCCGTATTCTCACCTAGGTCCGCAGATCTCCTTCGTCTTCGGAAGTTTCTCCCATTCAGTCTGTCCAAGTAAATCTGTCTACGGACTTCATCGATATCTGGCTGCTCTCCGATGACAACACCTTTAACATCGCCCTGACGATTTGCACCACGAATGAGGTGGACAGTGCTCGTAGCACCAGCTGTCTGGAAAATTACATCTGACACTCGTGCTCTTAAGAGTAGGCTGCTGGTCGCCAGAAATTCCAGAGAGTTGTAATTCTCGAAATTATCTACCGCTGTCCAAGCAGCTCTCAAGTCTGCGAGACGAACAATGAATTCCAGCTTCGACCCCTTATCAACACGTCTATGAGTGAGTAGTTTCGCCCCTCGTCACCTCTCTGTGAGATTTCTCCTGGAGATTGATCATCCCTTTCATCCAGTCCCAAATACCATCAATATTTCCCTTCATTATTCGTGTGAGTTTATACCAAATTGTAGTATCTGGCAACAGTAAACTCTGAGGTTTCTCGTAGAAACCATAGATTGGAAGAGTCACTCCATTCAGCCATGAATCCTCGTAGTACTGAAACAACCCATTCAGAATATCCAGTTGCTGAGGGGCTACAATTCCAGCCGGATCAGTAAATGCTTGTCGAACATCGTGAGCAAGCGAGACAGAAATCAATTTGGAGAGTAGAATCTGAGTATCTTGTGGTTGGAGGTTGATGTGAAGAGTGTTCGCAGCCATAACAATCTCCTTGATGCGATCTATCAAGCTGATTTCCCGAGGAATCCCAGGGAACACTTGCTCCACTGCTTGGAATAAGCCTTGATCCAAGGGGGTAAGGATGCTACTGATGATCACCCCCCTAAAGAATTGCTCATTTACTACTCCGACAAGTGTGTTAAACGTTTCGTCGGCTGTGTTGGGGAGGAATCCCAGGAGGCAAGGTACCACCTGCAATATACAATGGCAGAGATTCATGAGTGAATTGAAAGAGAGGAGAGGGGGTATCAATTCATTTGATTATTAGGTTCCGTCGAGATGATGTCGAAAAATTGAATGGATTTGTTTTCCACCATAAAAAAGATTTTTTTTCGGAATTGTAACAAATTTATACACATTCCGAACTATACGACAAATCGATTTCGTGTTAATTCTCAAATTTGATGATCGAAAATGCCTGAATCCACAGCGTGGTCTGTACTAAACTGTAACAGATACATGAATGTCTTCAAGTAGACGAATTAAATCGTGAGAATAATATCAAAAAGTTTCTATTAATTTTTAGGGGTTTCAAAGTCAAAACAACTAAAATTTAATAATGATGGGATGGAATTTTCAAGAATAAACAAAATCTTGGAGATAATATCGAAGGATACAATGGATTATTCGGTTTTTAAGACATCCCTTCCTGTGATTCTGGGTTTATAGGAAAATCCCAGAGTTTACTCTGGGTTGATAGCAAAATCCCAGATTTGATTCTGGGTTTATAGGAAAAACCCCAGACTTATCTTAGGGTTTATAGGAAAATCCCAGAATTAACTCTGGGTTGGTAGAAAAATTCCACATTCAACTCTGGGTGTATAAAAAAACCCCAGACTCATCTCTTATTAATTTTTGTCTCAGAAATTAACTCACGCTGTGTCTGAAAACTATTAAGAAGACCACAGTGCACTCTATGTGTAGCTGTGTTGGTTTGACATCGCTTGACATCTCTATCCTCAGCCGCACCTGGTGTCCGTCGAACATCTGAGGTATTATGCGATTTCCATTTAAACCAATTTCCGATCCATCCTGGAGGGGGACTGCTTGCACTTCGAGGACGCCTCCATCATACTCCTTGAGAGTAGCACGTTCATTCACTACCTGCTCACAATCTCCGAAGGAGTTCAGAGCAGGTAAGTACATATGATTGTTCTTCCAGTGGCGTATGGACTTTGAATACTGCCCATAGGAGACCATCGGTTCAGCACGTGGATGACTGAAAATTGTTTTTGATCATGGTGAGGACGAAAAATTGTGTGCACTTCATTAAAGTGACAAATATTCCATCAGTGGCCCTCACTGATGTTATTTCCAATTAAAAATAGGACCGTAACTTTTTGTGAATAATATACAAGCTTGATTGGACACAAACACTCAGAATAGCTATTTCAAAAGATCATTCATCCCGGTGATATATTTCCTTCCATGGATCTTTCGTCTATTTTCGTTGTAAATAAATAAATACCAGGGACATTCCCCAGTTCTCATCCCGTACTCAATTTATCATGTACGCTTCTGATTAGATATATTTCGTCCATTAATATGTCAAAATGTTTCCTATAATTTCACAGTATGGGTGAAATAGCGTTCTTTCAGATGGACCTAATACACGGAGAGAAATGTACGAGAAAAATTACCGTGCCCGCACAGTAAAGTTGGTTCAGATGGTCTTTCCAGGCCAAATGTACCGCAAAGAGTAGGAAAAAGTACTGTTGCACGAGTCATTTTTCGGATAAATGTGGGGAAAAATTCTTGTGCAGCACGGTAAAATCGAAGCGACAGTGAATTTTTACGAGAAATACGAGAAAAATTATGACACTGACTGGCAAATTTTTCCGGTGCTCTACCAGAATCCTAGGACCCGATCGCGCATTCGTAAGATTTCGGTACTCTTCGTCCCCCCTCCGCAACCACGAACATCGACTCAACGTGACCAGATGATTTATTCCGTCGCCTCCTCTAGCCTCCTCTCTCACATATCTCCTTACTGAAACCCCAGGTTAATGTTTTTCATAATATCAATTCAGTGAAATATTAATTAGTGTTGTGATAAAACGGTTAAGAAATAAAATAAGTGCCCTTTATTTTCGCTTCATGAGGTGTATAACGCTGTAGATATACATTGGCCTGTCAAACGTTCCACATACGTTTGCCGCGCATTCCGCTTTTAATATGGGAGAGAGGATATGGAGGAGAGGTTAAAATAAAATTAATAGGATGATATGCTGAATGACAATGTTTACTCATTTTTAACTATTGAATGAAATTTATCATGTAATAGAAAACAGTCAGGGATCAAGCTTTTATTGTGCGTTACCGGAATTTTTACTATGCAGCACCGGAATTTTTCTGGTGCTAGACAATTGAACCCACTTTACCAGACGGCACGGTAATTTTTGCCTGAATTTCGCCTGAAAAATTCTGGAATTTTTTTCTCCGTGTAGATGGGAAGTACTACATAGGAGTTCGTAGCTTATATAATACTTTAATGTGCACTCACTCGGCGATGATGTCGTTATGGATCTTCCTGGGGTTAGACCAACAATTAACACTCTTCCTGATCAAGCTTATTTTAAACTGGACTTTAAATCTCAGCTGAAACCTTCCCACGTGGTTGTGACCATGTGTGACGACGATTCGTCCCCTTTTACGCTTTCCCTCTCCTGGGCAACCCTGGGCATCACACTTCATTCGTCTGTAATGGGAGACAATGATGCGTCGTCTATTCTCATATTTTCGATAACAGTAATACTGAACATTAGAGGGTATTATCAGAAAAGATACGATTCCAGATCGAGTTTCAATAATTTTCGAGATCAAACAGTGTTCACACTACTCGATCGAGGTGCATGATCCACAACAATGTCTAGGTGTCGTCGGAAAGGAATGAATTTAGCAAACGGATGGATGAGAAAAAATCCATGAGCAATGGGGGGCGGAACTGAAACTTTGCAACAGAGATTCAAATTAATTGGAGCTACCGCGTCAACTCACCAAAATCCGGAAACAGTCGAATTCATTCGGGATCCAGTTTTAAATTCGTTCAGCTTCATCCACAATTTAAATCCATGTAAATAAAAAGACATGCAAAAAATACGTTTTTGAGTAAATCCACGTGAAATTTGATGACTCTCTATTATATAAAATTGGACTTTTTCCTAATTCTGATTTTTCTCAAGTTCCAAACTAGGTTCACTCCATCGTGAACACAGGTGTGAGGGTGGAAGTCCATAGAGTGTTTACTTGGACATATGTTTATCTGTATAACCAATCAGAATGAAGGAAATTAAATTTGCGGGGAAATTGTGTGATCTTATTGGGTACACGGATGGGTACAACTGCGTTCCACTCATGGGGCTCGGTCCGGCCAAAGGCGAGAGCTTTAATCACACTCGTCAGGAAGCACCTTTTTGCGTGTGTTTCGTACGACATTTTATGATACTTTATGATGTAATTGGCCTCGGCTGTATGATTCTTATACAAATAAAATAAAAATAAAATAAATGAATAAATAAATACTGGTGAGGAAAGGGCCTTTTTTTCAAACTGGAATCATGCAATATTTTTTCGTGGACTATGCGATGATGTTCGACATGATCCAAATAATTTCGATCTGAAATAGACAATACAAAATTTCTGCACGTACCTCCACCTGCCAACCAGTTTCCTTCCCCTTTTCCAAATATTGCCACGATGATAGCTTGATTGAAGAAGAAGGAGCTTTCTCCGTATTCTTGGAAAAATAATCATCTTGTCTTTTCACGCTGAGATCTATCGTTGAGTGATATACGAATCTGTAAGCACGGAAATCAAATCACCGATACAGGAGACACGTCATCCTGTATGAAAAAACTAAAATGAAAACTTCTCTATCACCGATCTATTCTGCTGAGTTAGATTATATTGATCAGTGAAGAGGCGCATATCATACGAAATTATACAATTTTTCAATCTATATTGGCGGAAAATATTATGTAATGAGAAAAATTAATGATAGAAATCATATGAGCAGTTCCACGCCAAATCCGAATCCTAAAAAATTCGATGTCAGGGATTTTCTCTCCAATTATTTTTTTTTTAAGTTTACCATCAGACGAACATTTTGAAAGAACGAAAGTTGAAAAGTATTAAAATTGCAAGAGTTATGATTTTTTTTAAATTTGCGTTTTTTTCGATGAAAAAAATTTTTTTTAATCATCCTCAATGTTCGAGCCTTCTTTACAGCTGGAAAATGTCTCTTGCACACACTCAAAGAACATTAAAAAAACCTTTAATATGAGACGTCACTCGCTGCATTCTATTCAGTTTTATGGGTTTTCTACGCCAAAACGTGTTTTTCTTCAATAACAATTATCTCAAAAACCGATTTTTTCCTAAATCTGAATTTTTTTTTAACAAAAATCATGTATAAAATGAAGAAAATTGCGGCGTAAAAAAAAGTAGGTACATCGCAGTAGTTTGGCAGATATGAATTTTTTAAATTAGCAAACTACTGAAAATGATGAAAAATCGCGTTGAATTACCCAATTTTCTTACGAATGAGTGAGTTTTTGATTGACCATTAGCAAATAAGAAAATGTAAGAGTGGTCGAAAGGAAAATATGATCAATTTGTCGTTCATAATATGCTTTTCGCTGATATATCGAATTTCGACTATTACGAACGACAAATTGATCATGTTTTCCTTTCTACCACTTTTATATCTTCTTTTTTGCCAATGATCAATCAAAAACTTACTCATTGGTGAAAAAATTGGGCGATTCAACGCGATTTTTCATTATTTTCAGTAGTTTGCTTTTTTATAAAATTAATATCTGCCAAACTAGTGCGATGTACTAACTTTTTCTGACGCCAAAATTTTCGTAATTGTATAGATTGTATAGATTTTTGAAAAAAAATTGAGATTTCTGAAAAAGAAGGTTTTTCAGATAATGGCGATTGAAAAAAAAACACGTTTTGGCGTAGAAGACCCATAAAACTGAAAAGAATGCATCTAGTGACGTCTCATTTTGAAGGTTTTTTCATGTTCTTTGAGTATGTTAGAGACCAATTTTCTAGCTCTAAAGGGGGCTCAAACATTGATGATGATTTGAAAAAAAAAAATTAATCGAAAAAAAACGAAATGTTCAAAAAATCATAACTCTTGCAATTATTGATATTTTTCAACTATTCTTTTTTTAAAATGTTCGTTTGATGCCCAACCTTCCAGAAAAAAATCGAAGACAACATCCATGACATCAAATTTTTTGGGTTTCGGATTTGGCGTAGACCTGCACATATTGTATTCAGCATTGATGTATTTTTTTCAATCGTATGATTATTAAAAAAATTCATTTTTTTTAGTGAAGCCTTGTGAAAATGAAAGTATCTCATTTTTCAATTTCTATCACCTACGCGTTTTTCATCGACATCTAGGGGATGAATAAATACGGAATTAATATTCACTGGGTCATCGACAAGAATTACTTGTTTTTATGTAATATCATACGAGCAGTTTCACGCCAAGTTCGAAACCCAAAAAATTTGATGTCAGGGATTTTCTCCCCAATTTTTTTCTGAAAAGTTAGGCATCAGACGAACATTTTCAAGAAGGGAAAGTTGAAAAATATTAATAATTGCCAGAGTTATGATTTTTTGAAAATTTCGTCTTTTCTTCATGAAATTTTCATTTTTCTCGAATCATCATCAATGTTTGAGCCCCCGTTAAAGTTATAAAATTAAAGTTCAACACACTCAAAGAACATGAACAAACCTTCAAAATGAGACGTCACTCGCTGCATTCTATACAGTTTTATGGGTTTTCTGTGCCAAAACGTGTTTTGTTTTCAATCGCGATTATCCCAAAAAACTTTTTTTTTAATCTGAAATTTTTACACAAAAATCATATATAAAATTACTGAAATTTCGGCGTCAAAAAAGTTAGCAGTTCGCAGTAGTTTGTCAGATATAAATTTTTGAAATGAGCAAGCTACTGAAAATGATGAAAAATTGAGTTGAATGACTCAATCATCTCACCAGTGAATGAGTTTTTGATTGATCATTGGCAAAAAAGAAGATATAAGAGTGGTAGAAAGGAAAACATGATCAATTTGTCGTTCGTAATAGTCGAAATTCGATCTATCAGTGAAGATAATATTACGAACGACAAATTGATCATGTTTTCTTTCTACCAATCTTGTATCTTCTTTTATTCCAATGATTAATAAAAAAATCACTCACTGGTGAGACAATTGGCTCATTCGACGGGATTTTTCATCATTCTTAGTAGTTTGCTTATTTAAAAAATTGATATCTGGCCAACTACTGCGAAGGACTAACTTTTTTTGACGCTGAAATTTTAGTAATTTTATAGATTATTTTTGGTAAAAATTTCCGATAAAAAAAATTTGGTTTTTGAGATAATCGCGATTGAACAAAAACCACGTTTTGTGTAGAAAACCCATAAAACTGGATACAATGCAACCAGTGACGTATCATTTTGAAGGTTTTTTTCGTGTTCTTTAAGTGTGTTGAAGAGAAATTTTATAGCTCTAAAGGGTGGTCAAACATTGATGATGATTTAAAAAAAAAAATTCATCGAAAAAGAAAAAAATTTTCAAAAAATCAGAACTCTTGCAATTATTAATACTTTTCAACTTTTCTTTCTTCAAAATGTTCGTTTGATGCCCAACTTTTGGGCAAAAAAATGACCGCAGAGACAAATATTTTGTCATGTCTCCAATAGGATGTATACTGGGCCAAAAAATTTAATTTTCGAAGCGTTTCATTGGCAATTGGGGGGTAAATAAATGTGACATTCATCGGCCGGAAAAGAAATCCATCTTTGAAGTATTTAATTGACATTTAGGGGTTGAATAAAGGCGTAATCAACACTCATCTGATCAAAATATTCATTTTTGAAGTATTTCATTGGGATTGAAGGGGTGAATAAACACTGAATCGACATTCACCGATGAAAAAAATTTAATTTTCGAAGTATTTCATTCGGATTGAGGGGGTGAATATATACTGAAACGACATTCACGGATAAAAAAAAATTGATGAAAAAAATGAATTTTCGAGGATTTCATTCGGATTGAGGGGGTGAATAAATACTGAATCGAAACTCACCGATCAAAAAAATTGAATTTTCGAAGTATTTCATTGATAATTAGGGGGGGNGGGGGGGGGGGAGAATAAATGCGCAATTGATAATCATTGATAAAAAAAAGAATTTGCGAAAGATTTAATTGACAATTAGGGGAGGAATAAATGCGGAATGGACATTCACCGGGGAAAAAATCAAATGTTCGAAAAAGTTGATATTTCTCTTCAAAAAATCGTATTTTAGTAGGAGAAAGCGGGCCAAAGTGGAACGATTTGTTGTATTCTCCAAATCCCAATATCTTCAATTATAAATGAAGATATTAGTTATTAGAGGAGATCACGAAACCTCCCTCTTTGCCCCGCTCGCCCCTAGAATACAGTACTCTCTGGTAAGTTGCTCATCGAAGGGGGTGTAGGGGTTCCCGTTTCCGAGAAATGACCAACTTTCCACCGGCCCTCACTCCCTAACCACTGCCGATCCGAATTCCAAGAGAATGAATAGTTTTATTTTCGAATAAAATTATTTGGACCTCTGTGTTTACGTACGGAGGTCAAAAAGAAACGATAAGGCGGCCGAGATTGAGGGACCGCGCTCGAGTGTCCGAGAAGGGGATGAGGAGAAGATGAGCAACTTATGAGTGTGCAACTTGCGAGCAGTGTATCTGGTTTTATTATATTGGATTATTATTTTATTACATTTTTTGTCGAGAAAAAAACGTTCTCAGAAATTTAAGCAAATTAGTGAATGATGGCTCCGAAAATTGAAACAAAAAAAAATTATAATAAAATATCGGTCAATTTTTTCATCAAGTGTTCAAGTGTTTCTATCAATTTCCTTCATTTCGCAAGACGAATTCGTGTTTAAGAGAATGTTTCTCCTCTCCCCTCTTGATTCGGAGAGTTGCGGCACGTCCTGCCTTTGTGAACGATGCCGCCAAAACAAACCTTGATGGTTAGGTACGAAAATCCGGCGGGATCAATATCTTATTCTATATTCACTGAGCATTGAAGAGTCCATGATGCAAATGCATATCAATTGGCACAATGATTTTCGAAGTATTCCATTAACATTTGGGGGGTGAATAAATGCAAATCATCATTCATCGGGCGAAAAGCGAATGATTTTTGAAGTATTTCATTGCAATTGAGGGGATGAATAAATGCGGAATCGAGATGTTTGGGGCCAAAAAATTGAGTTTTGAAGTATTCCATTGACTTTTAGGGGGTGCGGAATCGACATGCACCGGGAAAAATGAAAACGAATGTTCGAAAAAGTTGATTTTACCCCTCAAAATATCTCATTTTATTAGGGGAAAGCGGGGCAAGGTCGAGCGATTTGTTGTCTTCTCCAAACCCCAATATCTCCAATTATAAATAAATATGTTGGTAATTAGAGAAGATCACAAAACGTTTGACCCGTGCTGTCGTCTAGATCATCTTGTTTTCTCATATTAGATTATTATTTTATTAGCTATTATGTCGAGAAAAATACGGTTTCCAAAAGTTCAAACAATGTTAATTATTCATTTATAAATAAGAAACGTTAAAAGAATAATAATCCTTTGCAAAAAGTTCTTAGAATGATGATGGATATACATGATTTTTTTGAAATTATTCACCCGCAATGTAGTTGACAAATGTGATGCTTTGAAATTGCCGAATGTATAGTGTGGTCTGTATTAAACTGTAGAAGATACTTGGAAATCCCCAAGGAAGAGTAAATTCCCAGGACTGCTTCGATATCAATGCGTTTCTAATGTTCATCCATATCAACAAAATTAGTAAATGATTGCTAAAGAAACTGATACAAAAAACATTGCAAGAAAAATTACGGATCAATTTCTTCAACGGTCTTCAAGTGTTTTTATCAATTTTCTTCATTTCCTAACACGAATTCGTGTTTCAGGCCATGTTTTCCCTCTCCCCCCTTGATTTGGAGAGCTGATGCCGCCAAAACAAACTTTGATAGGACGAAAATTCGGCGGAATAAATACCTCATCCTATATTCTCTCGGGATTGAAAAGTCCATGATCCAAATGCATATCAATTAGCGCGATGGAAGAACTCAATTTGGAAACGATACGCTGAATAATTATTCACACACCCTCAAACCTTGACACTCAAGCATAGCTACCGACCAAAACGTTCAATGACTTTTAATTTATATTCCCTTTGATTGACACGAAAATCATATAATTCAATTCCTCAAATTTTGCATTCAGGTTGATAAATAATACGAGATGGGGTAACACTGGCTGCTTTCGATTATCGATACCCTCTTAAACAGCAAAATGATACCGCAATTATTTATCCAAAGCAGAGTTGGGGATTTGAACTAGCCAGTTTCCCATTGTCCCCCATTGAGGTACGGAATTGCCTTGCCGAGTCCACCGAACCGACATGATTCGAGGGTACCACGGAATTTTGGAACATTTATTTCACTAAATAGGGTCCAATGAAAATGTGTTTCCTCCACTCGCAAACAATCAAAGATAAAAACCGGCCGGTGTTTCAATCCACTTCATGCACTCAACTGATGTTCTCACGGACAAAAATAAATTAACCTTCCCCGATTTAATGAATCACGAAAAAATAAAAAAATATGGATAATTAGCTTACTATGATGTCCCTCGGCAAACTCTGCATCCGAACGTACGCCCTCGCTGGTGAAATATGGATGTCCTCTGCTCTCAAAGCTCAACCGATTGCACAGTGCGCCAGCCTCGCGAAGACCCACTGACTCGCCAGAAGAACCGAGTCTCCTAGCAGCCCTCTACACGTCTACCCCTCCACCGCCCCCACTACCGCCGCAACTACTCCTTCTCTTACTCCTCATCCGTCCTTTTCAAGGTAGTTGTGCCAAAAAGGTAAGATTGAACAATTAATATTCCGTAAACTATAAGAAATATAAAAGAAAATAGCGTTGGGTTTATACTATAAAACAAAAAGAATAAATGATCACGTTCTGTACTATCGATGAGGGTGTGGGGCACATTATAAGTGGAGGGTATGGTGGCAACGGTAGAGGGTATGGCGGATGTACCCCTCGCATTGCCACTTCCGTTCTTGCGCACGATTCTCACATGTGCGTGGAGTAGTGGTATATCAGAGGCCGCAGTAGCTGCTTGCGCCATTATGAGTTTATCCTGAACATCGCTAGTGCTACCGATAAAAAAAAACATTGACAATTTCTGTAATGTGGACACTATAATTCATTCCCATTCATAGCTCGATTATAAATGATTATACTTTGTGTATTCAGTTAAAATGGCATTTCGAATGATTTTTCAACATGGTCCAGTGATAGCCGATCGTCGCCAACTTCCAGATCCTTTTATCAACGATTTTTGTTATGTGTGTACAAAATCATGCGGTAACACAAAGTGAGTCAACCGTTTATTCTGTCGATGATCAATTCAGGGTGAAACAAATCATGGGACCAATATTGCTGTCTGAAATAATGTATGGAATATCTAGAGTTCTCCTCCGCACATAATTGTATAGGCAGTGTCTATTCACACGGTCCATGGTAAATTTTACCGTGGATATAAAGTATATTTTACCGTGGATATACGGTAATTTCTACCGTGGATATAAGGTAAGCAGTGGTGTGCATCGGGCCCATTTTTACCGTGGATATAGGGAAGATTTTCACCGTGGATATAAAGTAATTTTTTTTACCGTGCATATAAGGTGAGTGAATGGCGTGCAGTGTTTCCACTTTTTACCGTGGATGTAAGGGAGATTTTACCGTGGATCTATGGTGATGTCTATCGTGTATATAAGGGAGATCAGTGGTAAGCATCGCGTAGGGAAATTATCTCGCGGATCTAGTTGTATTATGGGTTAGAGCCTTTAAAATTTCAAAGATCAAGGGGGTGACGACCAGGGTTAAACGAGAGACGAATAAAGTTAGTAGGCCAATCAAATAAGGACTTTTTTTGGCCGAAATCGAGGATGATAGAAGAAGGATAAAAACCATAAGACATCATGCGCAAGAATGATATGAAACACATACTAAGTTTTTGGGATTGTAACAAACCGGGAAATTGTTTAAAAAAATTAAAAACTGCAAAATTAAGCGTCCACGCGACCTTTTTTGCGTTACGCCCTCTGATGGCCCGCTGGGATATTGATTTTGTCCTACATGACGTCGTAAGCATGTCCGGCGGACATTTTTGCGTCTTCCCCGATGTCCGCCGGACATTCCGATGTCCGCAACTTATGTCCTGAACACTTAGGCGTGTCTGGAGTAAGGTCCCGAGGACCAAATAGTGTCTTTTGCCATGTCCTTGAGACATTTCACTGTTCTCACGTATGTCCTACGGTCACTGAGAATAGAATGGTGGGGTCCTAAGGACATCCTGAAGTCTTTGTATAAAATCAAGTGTCCTCAGTGGTGTCCGCAGGGACTCAGCAGCGTCTCTGGCGATGTCCCCAGAACATTTAGTTGTCCTCCGACATGTCCCGCAGTCATCGGCAACTCATGAACAGGGTCCGGAGGACATCCTGAGATCCGTGCATAAATTGAAGGGTCCACGGTGATGTCCTGAGGATCCAACGGTGACTCTCGTCATGTCTCCAAGACATATTGTCCTCACGCAGGTCTCGCGGTCATCAGCTATATATATAGGGTCCGGAGGACGTCCTGAGCTCCATGCGTCAATTCAAGTGTCCGTGGTGGTGTCTTAAGGACCTCCCTATGTCTCTGGCGATGTCCCCAGAACGTTTTATTGTCCTCCCACATGTCCCACAGTCATCGGCAACTTATGAATAGGGTCCGTAAGACGTCCTGAGATCCGTGCATAAAAGCAAGTGTCCACCGTGGTGTCCTGAGGATCCAGCGGTGTCTCTCATCATGGCCCCAAGACATGTCATTGTCCTCACGCATGCCCCGCGGTCATCGGCTACTTATGGATAGGGTCCGGAGGACGTCCTGAGCTCCATGCGTGAATTTAAGTGTCCGGGATGGGGTCTTAAGGACTTCCCTGTCTCTGGCGATGTCATCAGAACGTTTCATTATCCTCTCACATGTCTCGCAGTCATCGGCAACTTAGGGATAGGGTCCAAAGGATGTCCTGGGATCCCTGCATAAGTTTACGTTTCCGCGATGGTATCTTGAGGACCCGACGATGTCTTCGGTGATGTCCTTAGAAAATTCCACCATCCTCACGCTCAACATGCGTTCATCATCAATTTATAGATGAGGCCCGAAGGACGACCTAAGAACTATACATGAATTGCAGTGTCCGTGGTGATGCTCTGAGGAGCAAATGACAACAGCCATAGCCATGGTTATGTCCCCGAGACCGTTAATTCTCCACGGACATCTGCTACTCAGTTACAAAGCTCAGTGGATATTCTGATTGCTTTAGCTTTCTGAAGTGTCTCCTAGAGGTGTTTCGAAGCTATAAGTTAAAGCTACAGGTATGAGGTTACCTCTTGATGTCCTCAAGGCGGTATATTGTCCCCACTTATGGCCCGCATTTATCAAATTCTCCCGAGGGGAGGTTCTGATGATGAGGCATTCGTGTAATTAACTCTCTATGGATACACTGGGGTTCCTCATCACCCCACTAATATGCAAGTATATACACGAATGAAAAAATTTCATAGAAAAACCTAGCGTCTTTGCTCGACAATTCTATTTGATTTCTGTCGAACTTTCTATAAGCTTTTGGCCGTTTCTATTGACATATTCAGTAGAAAATATTCTATAGAAATAGTCCATAGAATTCGATTTTTCTATGCAACTTATTCTATTGAAATATATTCTTGAGGATTTTTCCGGCTCGAATTTTCGAAGTTTGTTTCATTTTATTTTCCTTTTCTTTCCATCAAGAAAATCAAACAAAAAAACGTAGAAAATTGGAGCTTCTGAAATTAGAGATTTTAGAAAATTATAACAAATTCTATAGAAAATATCTCAATAGCATAAGTTGTATAGAAAAATCTAATTCTATTGACTTTTTCTATACAATACTTCCTATTGAAATCCAATAGAATCGTCTAGCTAATTTGCTAGGTTTTTCTATTTAATTTTTTCGTTCGTGTAGCCTGTGGGATTGATCGAACCCAGTGACTTTGTTCAGAGGTTTATGGGTGCTATTGATCCTGCAGAATCAACATTGTCGTTCAATTTCGAATCTGAATAATAGGGACTTTGTACGTAAAAACACTATTGGAAATTTTCTAATAATTTCAATAGAAAAAAAACCTACAAAGTTTTCAGAATATCAAATTATTGTGAATTCTTGAAAATTCCTCAATTGTTTGGCGAAATTTTTCGTTGAATTGAACAGTACAGTTTCAGATCCTATGAGTAAAAATCTATTCAGCATATCATAAAGATCTAATGAGTAGGTAATGCGTCTCGAATTCAAGGTCAATTCAGCAGTGGAGGTGGCGTGATAAATCATCCCAGTAAAGGACTATCCAGAAGGTGTACCCGTAGAGAGTTGAATGCATTGAAAAATTCTTCTGCCAATTCTACCTATTGCATTGTGATTGTTTAGATTGAGCTTTTCTGTGGGAAAATAAGATCATATGTGGCTATAGTGTGGAGCAGAACAGCTATGTTAACTGTAAAGACATTCCCATGTTTTTTAACCGATACTAGCAACGAAGCTTGTTTCCCTATGGGAAATGGATATCCATATTAGTCTGAATGATACACAATTATTCATCACAGAACTCAAATGTGTACTTAATTTTTTTTCAATTTTTTTTTTATTTCATTATAGGGAATAAATACATTATCATTCAGAATTTACATGGATCGTGTGTTTTCACAGGAAAGTATTACATAATTCAATCTATTTCGAAGCGATTCGATATAGGTGTTACGAATACTCCATCGAGTATGGAAATTTTTACTGCAGGACAGTTTATTTCGGTCGACAGGTGAAACGTCTTGTGGGTGTTATCAATATCTACACCGAGAAGATGCTTTGCGTTTCGAAATTAATGAGAGATTTCCAATGAATCACCGAATAAACCACAAATTTCGGGCTCACCAAAGCTAACGAGCTTACGTACAGTCAAGGCCACGTTGGCGTAAGAGGAATTCTTCGTCATTTGTTGGCTGACATATCACATATTTATTGGGAATATACGCATTGGTAATCTTTCGTGTATCTTTTACTGGTAATTTGAAGAGAATTTGAGTCAACTCTTGGCGGACATCTTCAGCAATTCCATCATCACTGATGAGACCATGAATGAACTTATTGATCTGATATCTCGTAACAATTTGCAACATACTTCCGTTCGGAGATGTTACTGTTTGCAATAATGTGTTGTTCCACGATTCAAGCCCAGAAGTACTATAAACCCACAAGGGTCCCCAATTTTTCACGCTCTCAATTATATGTGTGAGAAGATGGATATTCATCCTCATATTCTCAACACCAAAGTATTGCTCAAAAAGATCTACATATTGTTTCAATAATCGAGAAGCCACGAGAATATCTTGTCTTGTTATACTCTCTTTCGATAGCAAGAAAGTTGCTCCTGATATCTCAAGATGGGCAATGTACCGCTGTGGTAATAATCCTTGCAAATATGGGACTGCATAATAGAACGACCAGTTTCTCCACTCGGATGCTTTCCATAAAGCTCTTTCCTCAAAAGATCGAGGTTTCCTACTGATGTCTCGGGGTGTTTTTATTTTCTTCAGTCTAGCATTCACGGTTCGTCGTTTCGCTGCATCCAAGTAATAAG